AGGAACATTTTCAAACAAAGGACCTTGGTAAATTGAAATATTTATTGGGGATAGAAGTAGCAAGGTCTAAGCACGGTATTAATTTGTGTCAGAGGAAATATGTGCTTGATTTGCTAGAGGAAATAGGTTTGTTAGGTGCTAACCAGGTGAAACACCTATGGAAACAAATACTAAGTTGAGCAGTGATATGGGTTTAGTGTTTGAAGACCCTGGCAGATACCGACGACTTGTAGGTAAACTAAACTACCTAACCATTACTCGGCCAGATATTTCATTTGTGGTTAGTGTGGTAAGTCAGTTCATGCAGAAACCTCTGGTTCCTCATTGGAATGCGGTTCTAAGAATTGTAAGGTATTTAAAAGGGGCCCCTGGTCGTGGTTTGATATACAAAAGTGGTGGAACACTTGAAATAGAAGGGTATACTGATGTTGACTGGGCTAGTTCTATGTCTGATAGGCGGTCTACCATAGGTTATTGCACTTTTCTGGGGGGTAACCTGGTGACATGGAAAAGTAAGAAGCAGAAGTCATGGCAAGAAGCAGTGCAGAGGCAGAATATAGAGCTATGGCACATACTGCTTGTGAATTAGTGTGGCTGAGGAACCTTCTACAGGAGATAGGATACAACATTAATACTCCAATGAAGCTCAATTGTGACAATCAGGCTGCAGTTCATATTTCTTCTAATCTGGTGTTTCATGAAAGAACCAAGCACATAGAGGTTGACTGTCACTTTGTGAGAGAGAAGGTGTTGAATGGAGTGATAGACACTGCATACGTTAATACAGGAAACCAGTGGGCAGACTTATTTGCAAAAGGGTTGAGTCGGGGAAGAGTGGACTACATATGTAACAAGCTGGAATTATATAATATATACTCACCAGCTTGAGGGGGAGTGTTAGTATAGGGGTATTTTTGTCTTTATACTTATGTTGAGGTTGTTGATCTGTAATGTTATATTAGAACTAGTGTCCCTCACTTAAATAAGGGCACATGTGTCTTTTCCATTATATTAATAATATAAAAAACATGTCTAACCGAATGGAAGAGTGACTTTTCCCTAATTCGAACCAGACTTTTCTTCTCTCTTTTTTTCTCCTCCTTTCTCTCTCTCTTTCTTCCCTCTTTCTTCCTCTTTCTTCTTGACTGTTATCAGACTAATAGAACTCAAAGGCAGGCCGAATTATAACACCTTGCAAAGAGGGCATGGAATTATTTTAATGCCCTTCTCCTTATCTATTACCTAATGTTGGTTCCAGCTATCTGAAGTCTTGGGAGTGGTAGACTGAGTACAGACCTAATCTCCAGCATTTTGGCTGAAATGGCTGCTCTCAAGACTCAGACCCTCATTTTCACACTTGTCAGTTCCACATTTTACCATGGCACCAAGCAGTAGTCCCTTATTGCCTCCCATTTCCCAAAAGTAAAATGTAACTATTAGAATGAAAAATATATTAGGGTGGCTCATTGGTTGAATGGAGAATTTCTCACCATTGTCAATGGATGACATCATTAGAATTTGGAAGGAAGTAAAAGGAACATCCATAAATATAAATTCACTCTTGTTGGTCGCCACCGGAAAGAATCTTCATTAAGCTGAATTTTGATGGTAGCAGCATAGGGAGCCCGAGGATGTCAGGAGTAGGAGACTTTAGAGATGAAGAGGGCCATATAATTGTTTTACACTCAGGCCTGATTGGTGTTGGTGACTCTTTAAGGGCTGAAGTCTTGGTGATGATGGAAGAACTATTAAGGGCAAGGAGTCTGAGCATAAAAAATATGATCACATAAGGAGATTCTAAATTGGTGATGCGATGGTTACAAAACAGGAAGGCAAAGATGTAGAATTGCAGGACTAAGATAAAGAAATCAGATGATTGACTAAAAAATATGGAAGTGAGATTGCAATTGATTAAAAGGACTGCTGATAACATGGCCAGTACACTAGCTAAACAAGGGGTGGGGACAGATCAACTCTTTTGGGTGCAATTGTAAGAAAAAGAGGGAAGAAATAGGGGAGAGATAAGAGGTTTTATCTCTCATTGACTGTTTATAGATTGTTGTAATTGTACATTTTTTTCTCCTTTAATTTAATTCATGGTTAGTGATATAAAAAAAAAGTATTAGGAAAGCCAATTAAAACTACTCATGGTGGATATAAAGTACAGAACTCCAAGCTAAATAAAATCTTAATATAAAGATCTAATAAAAACACAAACAAAAAAAATAATAACTAAATCACATATGACCATATAAATATCTTCAAGATATAGAATTCAATTAAAATGAGAAACTGAATCTACACTAGTGGTAGGAAAATACCATATAAATAGAATGACCCTATTAGGTAATCCATGGACTTCTCTTGGTGGCAGGAGAGATGGGTAAACTCAATGGCATGGCTGGATCCACATGGACTAGTAAAGACCCAGATGCTAGCCCATTCTGAGATCAAGCCCAAAAGATGCAGGGTTTCTTAATCCATTTTCTTACAGTTCAGCCTGCATCAAGTCTCCTTAGCATGTCCATGCATATGGTGTCTCAATTCTCATGCCTGAACTTTCCTACCACTAATCAGGTTCAGTTGACTAACAAAAGTTATGACTCATTGGAAAGGATCTGTTCATTTCCCCAAAAGTTCCATTCCAATGTTATAGTTAGTTATCCAATCCTTGGAACTCCCACAATAACAATTTATGAATATATATATATATATATATATATATAAGTGGAAATATAAGGAACTCAATTCAGTGGCTACCTGAACACATCATGGCAATAAATGTGTCTCCTAATTGCTAGTTGGAAAACCCATGAAGCAGTGGCCCGGCATTCAAATGCCCACAATAGGTCCTCCAACGCATTGACAAAGTTAAAGGCTGCATTATCCTCCAAAGGTTCTAATTGCTCAAGTAAATGATCAACCTCATTAACAAGTGACTCAGACTTTTCAGTCAGAATCCTGCAGAAGTATGTACTTGATTAAAAATAAATTCAAAGAAGAGAAAAAGGGAAATAGGTGATAATTTTTGGATTGTCATGGTTCCTCTTGTACATAGGCATAAAATCAACAAGTAATGTATACCTGATTGGAAGATCAAATCCAGAATCTCGGAGTGAATTTAGCAGGAAAATGGCTTCACTAGTTTGCTGGCACAAACTTGCAGCCCTGGTAAAGCAAGTCCATATCCTGTGGTCTGGCTCCAGACCATCTTTCTTCATCTCCAAGAGCTTTTCAATTCCCAAGTTATAGTCCCCATTCTTGAGATATGCATCAATAACAGAACTATATGGTAGTGTAGTAAGGTTTAGGCCAGAGGCCTTTAAATTATTGAGCACATTTTCAGCTTCCTTTGGTTCTCCTGCACTGCCATATGAAACTATAAGCATGTGCATTGTGGCAATAGAAGGTTCCAACCCTGCCTCTTTCATCATAGCAAAAACATTGTTGGCTTTTATATGGTTCCCAGAATTCCTAAACATTTTCATCATTATATGATACACAGAGCGATCCAATTTCAATCCTCTTGACCGCAAACCTTCAAAAAGACTCTCAGCCTGTTCCCATAATTTCTGCTTACCACATGCTGAAATTAGGCTCTTGTAGGTGTCCAACTTAGGATCCAATCCTATCTTTTCCATTTCTTGCAACAGAGATAGACCTTCTTCAGGTCTATGATCTCTACAATACATCAATATTAAAGTGTTGTAAGTATCTTCATCTGGCCTAAATCCTGACGACTTTTGAATACGCTGATACACCTCAATTGTCTTCCTAAATTCCCCAATTCCACTGTACAATCTTAGTAATGAGTTGTAAACTAGAAGGTCAGGCTTAAATCCCGCTTCCTCCATCTCTGTGACCATGGATTCAACATCCCTGACTCTTTTTCCTCGAGATAACAACTCTATCATACTTCTGTACAGATGCATAGTGGGAAAATACCCAGCAGCCTTCATTCCATTATAAATTTTCTTCACCTCAAATATGTTTCTAGCTCTCACAAAAGCATCTAGCATTAAAATGATAGAACTTTTACTAATTTTAAAACCCATGTCCTGCAAGTCCTGAATGACCACATAGAGCTCATCTAATCTCCCATCAACAATCAAAGCTTGCATAAGACCATTAATGGAATCCACATTAGGAGAAGGACCATCTCTTACCATTGTACCAAATACAGCCCTTGCTTGCTCATAGCAACCATTTGCAGCATAAGCATGTATTAAAGCATTCCATACTTTCCGGTCAACCACAGATCCCTGCAGTCTAAGTTTCCCCACCAAACTCTCTGCCTTCTGCAACAGCTTCAACTTCCCATATGCCACAATTAAATCAACAAAAACAAACTCAGCAAAGAAGATTCCTGACTCTTCTGCCAGATCTACCAAATAATGAGCTGTTTCAGGGAAATCCAGCTTGCAGTATACAAGAACCATATTATGGTAGATATTACAAGAAGGTTCTATACCAAAGAATTTCATATCAGAAAATAATTGAGAGGCATTAGCAAAGGACTCAGTCTCTTTGCAGCACTCTATCAGAGAGTCATACATGGCAGAACTCCCATTAAACAAGCCAAATGTTCTTAGTTTATCATACTCTTCCATAGCAGCTTCAAACTGGTGATCCTTGCAAAGTATGATGGTTAGTGCTTCTGTTATCAAATGGTCGGATCTTGGAGCATGTTCCCGCAAAAAATCAACCAAAGCACCTGCTTCTTTGTGCCTTCCTAATGACTTATATGAACTTAGAATAGCTATTAAGTTATCACGATCTGGCTCAGACCCCTGAATAACAGCCAATTTTAACATATTAGCAGCATGGCAATAGCATTCCCCCCTGACAAGAATAGAAGAAATAATTTCAGGGCTCATACCAGATAGCTCCATATCCTTAATCACTCTTTCTACATCTTCTTCTTTATTCTCCTTCACAAGAACATGAAGCATGACTTGGTAAATACCTTGATCAGGTGTCAGACCATCACAAATCATCTCCCTGTATAATGTCATTGCTGTCTTTGTCTCATTGAATCGCAACAAGATATCCAACATAACAGAGTATGCCAGATGGTCTGGTTTGATCCCAGACCTCAGCATGCAGTTAAATGTCTCTTCAGCTTCAACCCTCATCCCTGCCTTTGCATAGCCACATATCAAAGCACTAAAAGTCCGCAAGGTGGGTTTTACCCCTGCATCCAACATCTCAGACATCACCTTTGCAGCCTCAGTTACCATATTGGCTTTCCCAAGTGAATCAATCAGAACGGTAAAGGTAACTGCATCGGGGCTGCGTCCTGATGACTTCATGTCTTTGTAGATCTGCGATGCTAAATCATGCTGGCCCTGCTTTCCATACATATGTATGACGGTATTATATGTCATTTCATCTCTTCCAAACCCAGCTTTGACCATCTCCTCACAAATCTCTTTCACCTTCTCAACACTCCCTTCTCTTGCAAATGCATATACCAAAGAATTATATGTAACTGCATCTGGGGAAAACCCTCTGGACCCCAGTTCTTTAAAAAGCCGCTCTGCATCTTTTGCCATCCCACATCGACCATACACTGATATCATGGCATTGTAAGTCCAAATATCTGCCTGGCAATTGTGGGATTCCATATCTTCATAGACCTTCATAGCCTCCTCCAAATTGGACCCACGGGAGCAAGCACTTATGAGAGTGTTGTAAGTGATTATATCAGGTCGTAGACCTGATCTCCTTACCTCATTGAGTAGTTCAATTGCAGATCCAGCCAACATAGAACCCGATTTTGCCCTGGCATTGATTAGAGTATTAAAGCTCACAAGGTCAGGCTCACATCCTCGTTTCCTCATTAAGTCAAGTAGTTCTTGGACCTTAGGAAACTTACCATTCCGAGCATATACACTCATCATTGCATTGTAAACTTGAACAGTGTTCCCTACCGCAGGCTCTGCCCGGTTGAAAAGCTCTACAGCCAAGCTTTCTTGATTGGCCTTGCCAAGCACAGCCAAAATTGTGGCAAGCATTCGTGCATTTGGAGAATACCAATGCCGAAGATTCAACCATTCATACACCTCCAACGCTCGCTGCCAACTCGACCGCCCGACCCATTTCATGACGAAACAGAAATCCGTGGGAGTCAACTGGACAATCCGGTCATCCAAAACATCTGCCACGAATTCATCCGGTTGCAATTGAAGAATCCTATCAGTTAGAAACTGAACTCTCTCTCTCCAATCTTTGGCCCTCTTCAATGCCAATTTGGTCATTTTCTTCACTCTAGTCCTGCTAGGCCTGCCTAGTACTTCTAGAGATTCATCGTTCGAATCAAACGATTCTACAATTTGGGTTTCTTCCTCTTTTTTCAAGTAATCATTAGTTTCTGTCTTATCCGCACCATCGGCATCTTCGAAGATTTGGATTGAATGAGGAGGACAGTTGATCAATTGGGTCTGACTCGATTTTCCATTCTCCGTGAGCTTCAGGTGAGGCCATCTCACAGATGGAGAAGCTCTACTGTAGCTAAATTTCTGTGTGTTAGATGGTTCTAAAGCAGCAGCAGCAGCAGTAGTAGAAGTAGCAGACGAAGAAGAGATATTCAAGGATGACAAAGTAATATCTCTACGTACCTTCGTGTAGGTTAAATTATGTGTACGCGTAGGCGTTGCTACAAGGACCAGAGCTACTGTATAAGCCATGCCCAAAGCAATAAAGGCTTACTTGTTTTCGTGATTTTGCATGGTTAGGGTTTCTTCACCAGAAGGCTAGAAGCTGAAATGCAGTTCAGATTTCAGACAGTGAGACAGGGAGGATGGAGGACCTAACGGATATTTTTAGGAGGGATTATCTGTTATTCTTTCGGCTAGTCCTAGACCTCTAGTTCAGATCAGAGTGGGCCCTTCCCAATCTTTCGCTTTGGAACTTTGGATTCGGATTAGCGCTGCAACGGTATCCGATTGTCCAAATACGGATTTCGAATTCGACTCCATTGGGATCCGAATTCGGTCCGTTATTAATTGGATTAAATGTGGATTCCATTCGATCCGATTCCAGACCTCTATTCATTCCCACAATCCCATGAATAAAACGAGCGTAGGCCATGTTTGGGAGTGTTTAAAAATAAACCCTTATTCAAAATAGGGCTGTTCACAAACAATGTCAAACTGACCAAACTAATCAAAGCAGCCCGACCCAACCGGATTTGGTCGGTTTTTCTTTATCACCACCGATTGGGTTTCAGGTTGTGAAGAGGGATAAATTGATAAGTCAGTTCGGTTTCGGTTTTCATGTGTGAAAACCAAAACTGAACCGAACCAAACCGAGTTAGTTAGTTTTTGATTTCCTAGTCTTTCCCTAACTAGGTAATCCCTATCCTAGTTTTTTCTTTCTAGTTAGTTACTTATTTTTAACATTAAAGAACAATAAAAATGATGTAGTGTGATCCGGTCACTCCTAACTGGCACTCACGTGGCTCTTGAGAGGTACCCGAGACGAGAAGGGAGAAGAAGAACTCCCAGGGGGTTTGCCCGGTGAGAACACTCCGATGATTAATTCAGTATTCTGTGTGGGAAGCAAAGGGAAAACGAAGGCTAAGAGTGCAGATTGCGCAGGTGGATCGAAAATACCTTGTTCCTTGAGAATCAGCTTCTTATAAAAGAAATTGGTTGCCCCTGGCCCCTTGGCCTCTGATAGGGCGGGTATAACCGCCACTGTCAACTTGCCGCAGCCGTTACTAGCAGGGCTGAGGTGGCACGCGTGGGGCCGTCACCGCAAGGTACAAGCCTGTCAGGTGTAAGACACCCTCTAAAGGTGGCAGGCACGACGTTGCCTGACGGGGGACATGGCTGTTGTTACCAGAGTTGTCGGGTACGGTGGTTGGGCAGGAGATCCTTCTGCCCTCCTTCATGCAGCTTGCCGAGCTACCACATACTGGGCTGCTTCGGGGTAGGTTGGTCCCTGCCTCGAAGCATCGAGGTGCTCCCTCTCAGGCGGGGGAAAGCTTGGGGTTCCTTTGGGGGAGCCCGGGCTCTCCGAGCTAGGTGGGAGTCGGTCTCACCGAGGTGTTAGTCCTCGGTGGGTTGTTAGTCTTTGACTTGGCGCTTCCTTCCCGTCGGGTCGAGATCACGCTGCCAGGCTGGACCGTTCACCAAGCCAGGTCATGCGCACGTGTTCTTGGTCCATGGGGTTGGGCCAAATCATCCTCCATAAAAAAACATTAGTTAAATGGGAATTACTTTTGTCTTTAGGATAGTTTTCCTTTTCATTTGGGTCGAACGACCCGTCGTACTTATCAAGAGGGGGGAGCTTGAAATCTTTGGGCATTGGGACTACCAGAAGCTCGGGAGATAGGGGGATTGAACTGAAAGGATGGGTGCCTTGACCTCGCCCGAGCTTACCTCTTCTTTGCCTCCGAGCTCGGGTAGGTCGTGGGTGGCAAACCGGCGAGCTCGGCGGCAGCGTCTCTGCTTCCTGGCGGGCTCGGCATTCGTGCTGTTCATTTCTGTACTGTCAGGAATGGTATGTGCCGGGAGTAGCTCAGGCTGCTGGTAATGGCTTCGAACAGAGGGCTCCCGCTTGGAACCTGCGGCCAGGATTTTGAATCGGTTTTCTAGGAACGGAGTACCAGGCCTTGAGGGCTGAGGCGACGTGGGCCTGGCGAGCTAAGGTCCTCCCGACCTGATTGCCCGTGGCGAGGTCGGGGCGGATGGTCTTTCTTGTCTGCCGCGGGTGGAGGCCTGGCTCCTTGGAGGGTTTTGGGGGGCCTCTCCTTGGCGAGATGGGTGCTCCTCCTATCGGCGAGACCTAGCTCGCTGTGAGACTGGGTGTCGAGGGGGAAGCTGTGATTGCTGAAGCTAAGATTGAGGTAACTGGGGAAACTACTGCTGGTACTGATACTGGGAGACCTGGTGCAACACGTGTTGTTGATAGAGCTGAAATTGTTGGAACTGTTGCATTTGGGCCTGCATGGCCCGCATGCACTGCATCAAGTCCTCCAGTTGGTTCGGGATGGCCGCTGGGGGCATGACCGAAGGTTTGCTGAACGTCACTCCGACTGTAGCAGGAAGTGGCGCGACGACGGGTGCCACTGCAAGAGGCACATTCAAGCTGGGGATTCCGTCCACCGAGAGGGGGACGAGGAACTGTCCGATGCAGACAGTAGGAAGCTAGGGTTGTTCCCTGAAGTTATCCATTTTCCTGCTTCGTCCGACGTTACTATAGGAAGCCATGAGTGTTGGGTTTCTGGAGAGTAAAGAGATGTGAAAGTTTGGAGAAAGGCTTTTCGAAAAGTTTCCCACAGACGGCGCCAAATGATGTAGCGCGATCCGGTCACTCCTAACTAGCACTCATGTGGCTCCTGAGAGGTACCTGAGACGAGAAGGGAGAAGAAGAACTCCCGGGGGGTTTGCCCGGCGGGAACACTCCGATGATTAAGTCAGAATTCAGTGCGGGAAGCAAAGGGAAAACGAAGGCTAAGAGTGCAGATTGCGCAGGTGGTTCGAAGATACCTTGTTCCTTGAGAATCAGCTTCTTATAGCAAAAATCAGTTGCCCCTGGCCCCTTGGCCTCTGACAAGGCGGGTATAACCGCCACTGTTAACCAGCCGCAGGCGTTACTGGCAGGGCTGAGGTGGCACGCGCGGGGCCGTCACCGCAGGGTACGTGCCTGTCAAGTGTAAGACACCCTCTAAAGGTGGCAGGCAGGGCGCTGCCTAACGGGGGACATGGCTGCTGTTACCAGAGTTGTCGGGTACAGTGGTTGGGCAGGAGATCCTTCTGCCCTCCTTCATGCAACTTGCCGAGCTACCACATACCGGGCTGCTTCGGGGTAGGTCAGTCCCGGCCTCGAAGCACCGAGGTGCTCCCTCTTAGGCGGGGGAAAGCTTGGGGTTCCTTTGGGGGAGCCCGGGCTCTTCGAGCTAGGCGGGAGTCGGTCTCACCGAGGTGTTAGTCCTCAGTGAGTTGTTAGTCTTTGACTTGGCGCTTCCTTCCCGTTGGGTCGAGATCATGCTGTTAGGCTGGACCGTTCGCCAAGCCAGGTCATGCGCACGTGTTCTTGGTTCATGGGGTTGGGCTAAATCGTCCTCCATCAATTGCCCCCCACTCCCCGTGCTGGGGACGGGGCCCTAGTGCGGGGAGTTCATAGTTCGTCGGGCAAATTTGGCTCGGTTACTCACACTGCCACGTTAGTCGGTTTAACGGCTGAACCGGCTGGGTATTCAGTTCTTTTACAGGGGAAAAACCCACGTCTCGTGCAACTCACGCGCGGACGTCAGGCACTTCTTTTCTCAGCCTGTTCTCCCTTATGTCTAGCGAGAGTAGCTTTTCTGATGAGCCCGAGGTGGGCACCTCGGGTCATGGTGACCCTTCCCCGGCTCGATCTTCCTGCG